GAAACACCTGAATTTTAACCCCAGATCTCAAACTAATTTGCTCTATAGCCAAAATTAAGTCACTGAATTTCTCTGCCTGAATCCTTCCCTCTGTAAAATGGAGATGATAATATTTACCAGCCTCACAGGATGTTGACATGATTCCTTAAATTTTTGTAAAGCAATTTGAAAAGTGCTGTAAAAAGGCTTAGTATCAGGATTATAATGACCAATAAGCATCTACGTTGTGCAACTGACCTAGCAGAAAAATGTTTTACAAGTTCCCTTGTAACCTCTTAAAAAAAAAAAAAAGCGATGATTCTCTGTAAAGATAGCTAACTATCTATGGAACTTTAAAGATTATTTAAAAAGTGACAAATTCCATCTTGGGAAGTTGCACTCTAAGGGTTTAGAACCTGCAAAGCCATATACATGCAAGTAGTCCTAACCAGTGCTAATAATCCCAGAGTATAAATATTAGCAAGGACCATTTGCATGAATAAGAGTTTTCATGACAGGGCTCTAATTTACAAGCCACCTATTTTGATTGCTCCTAAAAGGCTAAACTTTACTTAGCTGCTACTCTGAGATAATGTAAGACATTGCAATATTTTCCTATACTTAGAACAGAAAATAGCAACAATTTCTCAGATACCAATGTGTTCTAATCTTTGGCACAGGACTGACTTTTTAATAGTATCACTGGTGTACTGAAGGTGTCAGTGTGAAAGGTGTTCTACAAGTGATGAAGATATATGCATGAAAGCATTGCTGGAACTATCTAACTGCTCTTAAAGTCAAAGTAAATTCTGCCTGCATCCGGATTATAAAATCCAATTATGTTTATGGCAAACATGATTGGGGCTCGTAATTTTAAATTTGCATATACACATTTTCCTCTTGTCCCCATCAATGCTATTACTGTAATCTCCCAAAGTATACAGCCCAATTTCACATAATATGGTCACTAGCCTGGCGGATCCAGTTAGATATTATATATCCAGAGGTATATTGTCAAGACTCCAGCCATTATCACAAGGGGGAAAAAAAACAAATTATGACATATGCCTGCTTATGCCTATGGAGTCAAAATAAATAGATTATTATTTACCTACAAAATAATAGAGAGTGCATAGGAAATGGATCTCTGATGACTACAGTACTTGAAATGCTTTGTCACCTTGTCTGAGGTCAAGTCCAGGTATTCACTAGAGGCCCAATCCAGACAGCTGCTCAACACCCTCATATCTCTCATTGATTTCAGCGTGCTCAGCGCCATACAGGATTCAGCCCTCACAATATACATTGCGAGGCTGTACAAGTAATTCAACAAAACAGCTCCCCTGATCTATTAGGCTACTAAGCTCTATACAAAGGAACATTTAAGCACTTTGAGTTATACTTAGCTTTGTTTTCAGAATGTATGGAAAATACCCCTACAGCTGGTGGATGAATTAGAGCTAAATGCCTCTCTTGTATTTACATGTTGGGTTTACTCTAATAATGTGTGAAGAAGGCTGCCATAAATGCACCAGAAAGAGCTGCTTGCCAAGGTCCCAGTTGTGCAAGGTGCTGAGCAGCTCATGAGAAGTGCTCAGTGCCTTGAAGCCAATGGGAGATGAGGGCATTCAGCACGAGGATCAGGCCCTGAAATCTGGGATGTTTGATAAGATTTCCCAAGAAAAGTGATTCTGATTTAATACAATCTCTCTCCCCACTCACAGTGAGTCCCCAGCATTTCCTTTTCTCATCAGAATCCAGGGGGTATAATAAAATTAAAAAGGACATTTTTCCCCTCTTGATGCCAACAAATGCTCCCACTTCCCAGGGTGACTCTTCTTCTGTTTTGGCAGGCTATCCTTCTTCCATATTTCATAACTACAGTTGCGTAACAACAGACCATAGCTATAGCAGCTTCTGGTTGTGGTAAACATGCTGGGTCTTAACCCCATTACCAGCTCTGCTGTGTCACTTATTTCCTGATACTCACTTGCTGCATAACCCCTTGCAGTAACTGGTGAACTGTCCCGCTTGCCAGGCTTATGGAGGACTAGACATATTGTACTGCAAGTTATTCAGCAGAGTGAGACACCTGGCTGCAGACCCCAAGAACCATCACTGAATCAAATCTACCTGCTGGAGGTGCTCGGGCTTAACACGTACCCATCTCCATAAATGAATACGTTATTTCAAATGAAAACAAAGTTAATGAGGTGAATGACTGCAGAGCTGGAAGAGAAAGTCTAATTAAAATCAAAGCAGTTATTAGTCTCTTATCACTACTGATTAATTATTAGCTGGAGATAATGTCACTTTAACTGGTAGCGGAAATAGCTCAAGTGTTATCAAGAGCAGAAATGTAATAAAAACAATAAACCTATAGGCCTGCTCTAGAAGTTCCAATTCAGGGCTGAATAATCTCTTCTAGAGGGAGAGCCAGGGAAATGGGTATGGGGTGAAATCCTGGTAAAACTCCCCTTGACTTTAGTAGGGTCAAGATTTCATCCCGGAGGGGAATGCGGGGAAGGGGTTGATGGTTTAAACTTTAAAAAGTGAGGATTTGCTTCCATTCTAGCTCTGCAGGAGACCTCACCCTCCAACCCCAAAGATATCCTGAGCCTCATTTTATATATATATAAAAAATACACACACACACACCCCTCTATCTCATAGAACTGGAAGGGACCCTGAAAGGTCATTGAGTCCAGCCCCCTGCCTTCACTAGCAGGACCAAGTACTGATTTTGCACCAGATCCCTCAGTGGCCTCCTCAAGGATTGAGCTCACGACACCCCGGGTTTAGCAGACCAATGCTTAAACCATAGAGCTCCTCCAAACTGCTCCCTAAGGTACCATTTTACCTGTGCCAGCATGGTTCCTTCAGACATTATGTTGCCCATGCCTCCTTTATAGAGGGAGCCCCAGCACTACCTCTACTTGCAACTCCACAGCATAAGAGAATGCTGACAACTGTAAGCAATGCCTGTGGGTTTGTGGGGCCCTGACACAGCAGATGACACTCATCCCCTTTGATCTTTCCCCTTCATGCTACCAATGAAGCCCAAAATTTACGGAAGGGGCTTCTGACAAGTCAATGGCAGAGGGGCACTGATGACACTTAGGCTCAACTATAGTTTCACATAAGTCAATCTATTTTTGCAGATTTTTCTTTTGTTTACCAATTCTCTTCTGTTTTTTTTAAAATATGTCCCTCAATCCTTACTCCAGGCTAAATTGCAAAAAGCAGTCAGTGGAAGTTTTGCTTGAGTAAGGACCAAGTAGAGACTTCAGGAATGGGTCTTACATCTTTTTGCAGTGGGAGCAAAGGTTCCCAAGGTAAACTGACAATCTACAGCTCTGCAGTATAGTTAGATGACTTATATTTTATAAACATTCAAAAGAAGCTTTTTGGATGGCTTGTCAATAGAAATGCAGTGATGTATTTGTGAGACCAAGATTGTTCCCTGCTCATATTGATGAGATTGGGTACATTCAGTTCATGCTGCTAATGGGTGAATCAGTAAATTAAATGGAGAATGTCACTAAAGTATTATTTACAATCTCAGAGCTCTGTTAGCTTATCACTTTGATTGCCTAATGATAAATAGCTGCCTGCCTTATGAGAAATAGTATTTCTTTTTAATACCATGCTAGCATTTAGTCTTCATATTGATTTCACTGTTCATGTACTTCGATAACATTGGCTTCCCCTGTTTTTCACTACAGAGTGCTCCTTCATGTTCATCTTTGAAATGAAGAAGTTACACCTCTTCTTCCACTATGAATATGTTAACATGGGGGCAATTAATGGACAGCAGAAGAGCAATATTTTGATATAAAACCCAGCTGTTTTCTGTCAGGTTGATTTCCACAAGTGTTTTATTTATTTTTATTTTTTTTATCCTGAGACACTCTGGCTGGTCTGAGATTTGATGAGCATACAGTGTTACTTTTAGAAATGGGCTGAACTCCAGTTAAATATTTGGCTGTTTAATAGGCAGACTTTAGGATAACAGTCTTCGTGGGAATCCAAAAAAAGGGAGTAAAGAAAGGGCTCCCCGTGCTATTCTTAGCAGCACACAGTTAGATTTGGAATTTTGATTGTAAAGCATGGAATTTATAAACGTTGCCATTCTAAATTTACTTCGTTTGTATACAATTCAGCTGGATAATCAAGTGTTACGGTATGTTCCTGCTTAGCAGCTCAGTTCTGAGTTTAACAGCCTCTAAACTAGGAGAAAATTTCATTCAATAAACATTGATAGTGTCATTTCTTTTCCAATTGTTGAAGTAAGTGAAGATTTATGATGTGTGCATATAGACACATACACAGATACACATGGCAATGATTTATTTCTAGGGGGAAGCCAAGGAAATTCTCTCCCTGTGCCCCATATCATCGAAGGTATCTGTTCTTTGGTTCTAAACATTAAGTAAGTTCTCAGCCAAGGAATGTACTTTCACTCTCCAATCGATAGATGTCTGTTTGCACTTGTTATTTAATGATAGTGGGATACACAATTTATCTTATTTAACAAGGGTATTACTGATCAGCTGCACACCTCATTTGCACACACAAAGACATTTCAGTTTAAATCCTTCTTTGTTTGTCTTCGGTTTTATAATGTGAATTAATTGAAATAGTATTTGTTAATATATCATTCCCATATACTGCACTTTTCAGTGTTTCATGGGTAGATTAGCTTTGTAAAAAAATGAGCTTTTAATTGCTATATTTGGGCAGCTATGACTGATCGTGTTTTATGTTTCAGAAGAAAATAAAGATTTTATTTTGCCAATACTTTGCTAAGTAGGATATTGCTCCTGGAATTTTAAAGTATTACATAAAAATTGCTAATAAGTTTCTTAATATGGCACTTCTGATGGGGAAACAACGTTTGGATAATCTGGCTTTCCTTTAGAATTACCAAACTAGAGTAGAATGATTTCCCCTCCAATAACATCCCCAAGATCCAAACTTTAAGACCTTTAGAATTTCCCCACATTGCTATAAACACTTACGTGGCCCCCAAGGTGCCTCTGGGGGGATTCTCTGAAGGTCAATCTCATCCTTATCCATTTCTTATCCAAGCCTGGAAAGCTCAGCTGCAAATTAGTACCAAAAAGAATATTTGAAATTGAAGGGATCCTTCCTCTTTGCTTTTTAAATGTTTAGGGCTTTCATTCAATGGGCACAAGAAGCCAATCAGCTACTGCAGGTTGCCACACAACATATTTGCAAGCAATCCTACTACCACCACTAATAATAAGAGCAGGGTCCCTGGAATTGAAGGCAGCCAAATTTAAGAAAGAAAAAAAGAAACGGAGAAAATTCCCAACTTGATGCCCTGGAAAACAGAGTAGCTTAAAACGCACCTAAGAGCTGACCCTGCTCCTCTTGCAGAAAGTCACAGATACAGCCTCTGCCATGCACAAGGGTTTTAAATTGATCGCCGCTGCTTGAGGAGCCCCCCGGTGAAGAGCGAGGCACTGACTTTAAATAGCAGCGCTCTGCTCTGAGCCCGGCTCACACTAACTGCTGCTGCTGGAGGTATACGCCAGTGGGAACCCAGCCCCCCACGTGACTCGGATGGGTGCAGAACTATGCACGAAAATCCAGCCGGGAGCAGGAGGATGGGAGCGTCTCTTTCCAAACGATCCAAACCTCTGCCGGATCTAGGGCTCACCCACGCACACGCTGACCCTAAGCAGCAGGAGGAACCGCCCGAGGAAGAGTTGGGGGCACTTCCCGCTCCCGGTACCGCAGAGACCAGCTTCGGGCTCCCCGCATCACCTAGGGTCCCCACCGCGCCTGTGGTTTGCTTTGCTTGCTTGCGTGTGTCTGCTGGACTAACTAGTTATCCCGTTCTGTGGCTCTGCCCTGAGGCGCAAGTCGGATGGAATATGATCTCTCTCTAGTTTCACCGTTGGTTGACAGGCATTTTAGATCCGAGCACCTGTAGCTGGGTGTTTTGTACAGGGATTGTGGGGAGCGGAACGATCCCTTTACAGAAGGAGACGCATTACTGCTGAACGGGCGGGTGTGGTAATCCCAGGCTCTGGTCAGACTCTGAAGTTGCGGGGAGGGCTGAAATTGGGGGTACCTAGAAAATGGAGAGATGTTAGGATGGAGGCTTTGAGGCCAAACGAGATTTCAGGCTCCCTCCTCCTCCTGTTTTGCTGCAGGCAAGAGAAGAGGGGGAAGGCGGGAGTGCTGAACCACAGCCTGCAAAACAGCAAGAAAGGCGCCTTCTTATGTATCCATAAAACCCTACCAATGACACCCATAGGTAAATATAATAAATACCAACCCAGATCTACCTTAAACAAAGTGGGTTTGCAGCAAGTGAACTGACCTTGGGCGTTTGAGTAACCCGCCTGAATGATGGCAGCAGCTGACATGTGCAGGGAGAATTCCTCTCAAAGGTCACTAACATTTTTTTTCTCTAGCAGGCTGCAGAAGCACAGGCAACTTTTGGAAACCACACACTGCAGCCTCAGAAGAACTTTTAACGGGGTTGGGGCGAGTTCTTGGACATCCCCCTCAGCATTCAGGATGCTGAGAAAATTAGTGTGTCTTGACTGCTGATAGTAATCAGAGTAAAAGATAATTAAGATGCTATTAGCACTATAAAGTCTTTGGTGGTTCATTGACATCTTCAAAGCCAAATGCCACTTAACAGGGTAATTATTAAAGATATTGATTTCTTTCTTCTCTGTGTAATATCTGACCTGTCTGCTTTTGGAGGATTTTCAATGTCCTAATCTTCTTTTGTGTATCATTGTTTAACTGTTTCTTTAACTTCCCAGACTTCATGGATGCTGAACCTGTCCATGAGTCTTTCATTAAAGAAAACAAATCCTTTAGCACATTTTGGGTTTTTAGTAATGGGGGCTAGAGATGGTATTAGAACTCAAACTCTTACCGTCTAGGCATAGCACTAGGCCACAGAGCTGATTCCTTTTCTCTCTCACTGAAGGAGTGCTTCAGTCGTCAAACTCCTAATTTCACTCTCTCGGGTTTCCTTGGTGGTTTAACTGGCTAGGCTTTTATGGTCACTGTAGTACTAAAACAAAGAGAACAATCTTTCTCAGAATAAGTTTGAAATAGGATGTGATGGAGTGGAAAGACACAGTTGGGTAAATGTATAATCAAGGGAATTTTAGAATTTAGATAATTTCTTGACAGAATGTAATCCTGAGAGGCTTTGAAAATGAGTCAGTGTGCTTTCAGGCTATTTTAAAAACCCATTATTTACTCTCTTTTAATTTTTATTTTTATGCAAATATGAATTTAGGAAATTTTAAAATGTACAGTATTTCCTTTATTATTAGAGTAGCAGTACAGTATGTTGTGTTGTAGATCTGTGATATATTTGAGCCTAATCTCGCTACACTTACTCATGTGAATATAAACTGCTAGAGGATCATGCCCATATCAAAGAGAGTTCTCTTTTCCTTTGGCTAAATTTCATTCATTCCTGCTGGAGCGTCACAGCAGAACCCAATATCTGCACAAGATCAAAATATATATTTCACCAAGTTTAAAATATAAAAAAGTCAAGTCCCCCCCCCCAATAGGTTTTGTAAAGTAGAAACTGTGGAAATCTTCACATGCAAAGGGGTCCAAATTCCAGTACTCTTACTAAATAAAGCTTTATAGATTAGTAGTCTGACTATTTAGGTGCTACTCAGTATGACAAAATATCATAATCTAGCACATATACCTCATTTCCAGGCTTTATTGCATAGAGTAACACTCAGCAACCTGGGATTTATCTCATCATTTTTGATGAACGCTCCCATACACAAAGTACAGCTGTATAGGCATCCAGTTAAAAGAGCAGAAGTGATATTTTCATGATTGGTGATCTAGCTGGGGTTGACCAACGTTAAGCCATCAGTCGTAAGCAAATGGCTTAGCTAGTTGGATTTTAAGAAGGTGGGATACCTCACATCAGGGTTCTTACCATCTGTGAAGATTCTGGGGATCAGGACCTTTCCTAAACATACACACAATACATTGCAACAAAGTAGCCATTCATGCCTTGGTTGCTTGATAAAGGCTATTCTTTGCAGATGACTTGAAGGGGACTACAGCCCATTCAAAGGCAGCCCTTCTCATGATGACATTGTTTTGTAACTGCCTTAGAGAACGTTGGTCTGACAAGTAAGATTTCAAACATCAAGTTTCTGTGCCAGCCAACCAGTGTAATTATTTTAGGTGTTTTATATGTTGAACCAGACTTCTGGATGAATGGGGACAATACTAAATATTAATGACTGATCAAGCCTTCATTAAGGGTCTTGAAAATTTAAAATACAGTATGTGCCATGTACTCTTATAAAGGATCAAATTTGAGGACAAAGTCTTGAATTCAAAGAAGCAGTCCTGTCTCCATCAGTCTACAGGATATGTTGCTTCCACTTATGATCATTTGCATTCATACAATCATCAAAATATACAGTGCAATAGTACTTTTCACCACATTGGTGAGTGTAGGACCATGGACTTCTTTACTATCCTAATGTCAAAGTACCAGGTAGCTTTCATAAGGAATGTTGGTGCATTCATGGATATAAAATAATCAGATAAAGCAAAAAAAAACAACCCACCATTGTACAGGCAGTGCCAGTAGATATGTGATTTGGATAGCACACTAACATCCTGTGAACGGAGAAAGAGCCAATACCAAAGCATGGAGCTCAGACTAAAGGTCTCTTCTTGCCTTGAAGTCTATAATTCTAAGGTGAACTGGTTCATGGAAAAAACAAGACTAAAAATCTTGCTCATTTTATTTATCCCTTTTACATCAGACTACTTATATAAGTATAGCAAGCAAAATCTTCCCCTCAAAAAAGGTACCATTCACTCAAATAGAATGTGCACCTGTACAACGTTAACATATGTACATTGGAGAATAGAGCTGTTGTCACAGGGTGTCCTGGCTCTATGGCCAGGAAGGGGTGCTAAGTGTGGCCTTGTAGGTGCTTCCCTGCCTCCCTATCCCACAATGTCATCCAGAAGATCACTAAGGCTTTATGTAGGGAACAATGCAGCCTTCCTGAGGGGGGGGGGAGGAGGTCTAGTTGATTAATAAAAGATCCAATGAAAATACAAGCAAGCATCCCAGCATCACAGTTGGAAGATAAATATCCTGAGACAGATTATTTCCACCTAGGTCCATCTCTTCACTCCAGCAGGGCTCTCTCTGCCCAGACCCCTTTCCTGGAGTCAGACATCTTGCCACTACCTAGCCCTTCCCCAGAGGTAGAGGTCTACACAGATCTGACAGCTGCAGCTCTTTTCTGGTACAGCATGTCATTCCTGATAGGTTGGGCTTGTCAGCCATTGCTTGGGAGTTACCTGTCCTTTAGAGCACACTTTCCAGAGCCCTTGCTCTGGTGAGGTCTCTTGGGAGTGCCTGTCCAGCTTACAGTCTCTGTAATTTATCCCAGCTGCATGCTGGTAACCCTTTATCAGGCTCATTAGCGGCCAAACCTACAGATTTAATTCCTTTCAGGTGTATCTGAGTTGGCTCATTCTCTCTTACAGAGGCCTGTGGCAGGTAGGCTGACTCCCCTTAAAGGGCCAGGCTCTGTGATAGCTGTTAACTGAACTTTCAGTAAATGTCAGTGAAGTTCTGTCAGTGTTTTAACCAGGAGCTCTAACAACAGTATCCCTCCTCCGTCTGTGATAATCCCCAATATACTACTGGAGTGTGTACTTGCAAGGAGGAAGTGGAACGGACCAGTGTATGTATTCATTTGTCTACCTATTTGAACAAAAATGCTTTCTCACAAGCAGAGAAGAAGACAGCACCACTTGGCAATCAAGCTTATATTACATGTACTTGCATGCAATGTTTATACTATGCTCCTGAAAAATATACTGAATACCTGGATAGTATAGCAGGGCTCCCCTCACATACTTTGAAACACAGAAAACAGACATTTTATGGGGCTTCAGGGTTTTTCCCAATTGCCTTGCAGTTGCCCTGGAATGATTTAATTAATTATTTTTATGAACCCTGTGGATGGCTTAGAGGTGAACTCTATGGGGGGCAGGGAAATCACTCTCATTCTCTCTTGGATTTGGTAGTAGAATTTTAATAAGGGTCACCTAAGAGAACAGCTTTGGCAATAAAGTGAAACTCTTTGAAGATAAACACATGATCATGAAACAAAATACTGACTGTGTTTACAAGAACAATCCCATATCCAGTGTATTTTCTTCAATGGTGGCTCTGTAAACCATAACCTCCAACCCCCAACTGTCACTTACAAAATGTCAACAGGTAGGGCACATACAAGGAATACAATTGGACCATATAATACCCAATACCTAGCTTTCATATAGCACTCTTCATCCACAGATCTCAAAGCACTTGATAGCCTGCTGTTTATATCCTTATCATTCCCTCTGAGAAATTCTTATTGAAGTCAGCTGGAGTTTTGCATTAAAAAAAAAATGAACGATAGGATATGGCCCAAAATGTAATAACACCACCTCACCAGTATGTGATTTCAATAAGACTAGCCAAGCTAGTAAAGATAAGCATATACGCTAGTGTATGCAGGATCAGGGCCCTCTTGTATAGGCATAACTAGCACTGGCTGACTACTTCTTTCCCCTTCAAATGAAAAATCACATACCAGTTAAAGGTGTGTAAGTGCTGTGCTGAAGTGCTAGAAGGACTTAAGTGCTTTGCTGAATTTGGGAAAGGGTGAGACAGGTATTTAGATTTCAATTTATAAACAGAAATGTGCATTATGTCAAATTAACTCATTGCATATAGTAATATATGCCCTAAAAAATGGGATGCATTTTTAGGGCATAGGACTGGGTAAAGATGTCAAACTGGGCATTTGCTACCCAAACTAATTTATTGCTTTGTCAATAAACACTTGTGCCAGGGTTATCGGCAATGAAACAGGTGGAAATTGGATCACTATACATTTTAAAAGTCATTTAGGAAACAGATTTTATTGTACTGACAATGACAGAAGAATGAAGAAAATAAAACCTGTTAGCAGAGCAGCAGGAGAGATAAAGGTTTCAGATACAAACTCTTTTA